AGCCTTATCTTAGCCCAAACAATAGGCTCCCTTAGTCAGAAAACTTTTCTCTCCTGATTAAATGCCTGAAGGCAACCCACTTTCCAGGGAGGCAACCAGTTTTACTGAGTCTCAAAGACTGCTTTACTCGCTCTGTGGACCAGGAAATCCACCTCTCTATCTTGTCTCCTGGTTTTTTTGTTTTGTTATTTCTGCTGCCGCAGCTCAGCAAGACTTTAGCACCATGTCACCACTGTTTCTCTGGTATCACAACCTTCTGCCTTCTGGACCAAAGAGATGCAGCACAGGGAACTTGAGCTTGAAGAAGACACTCTGCTCTTGCCTGGTCCTTCTTGAACTCTCATTCTTATTTCTGAGATGTTCTTCTTTATTTGTAGTAGGATGGAGTATGACAGTCCCATGGTGCCATTTGATGAGAGTTACAAAGACAATGGCTAAAAGAACTGTATCAAGTAAATTCACTGCACTGCACAGACCCAGTAAAGGTGATCTGAGATGAATGGTGTGTCTCAGATTTAAAAAAAATTCTTATCTCACTTTCCACTTGTTTCCTATTTCCATTCTTCATTCTTTCCTAACCCTTCCTGCCTCTGAACTTTGTTCCTGGGCAAATGTTGCCCTTTTCATCTCAAATGGTCAATTATTCCCAGAAGCGGGTATCTCACTAGTGTTACTGTTCATTGTACTGACCTGTCCATGACTTGCCTGAAAATGAGCCACAGGAGTAAGTTCGTTCCAGGCCTGCGAGTGACGAAAAGCCACAATTTAAAGGGTTCCTAGAGTCTCTAGCCAGCCAGTCCTTTTTATGATTTTGAATTTGTTGCACATTTTTCTCCTTGTTTAGCCAGGACTTTTTAATGTGATCCCTTTCAGAGCAGCTGGTAGTCGTAGCCACCTAGTTCTTCTGGCTTCAGGATTGTAGAAACTGAGGCTTGTGTGACCACTGATTGTAGGGGGAAGGCCAGCCTCCCACAACTAATCACGGGTTCAATAGGTGCAATTGTATGGTTAATATAGATAAAGATTATAATATAGTCATAGAGTGCATGAGAAACAGAGGAGAGAGTGAAATAATAGAGTCAGACACATTTCATGGTAGCATGCTCACCTCAGCCCTGCTTGGTGGTCCACGTGGATAGGGGCAGGGGAGGGAGGACAGAGGGAAAGGGAACAGGGGAGGGAGGACGGGAGAGGAAAGGGGGAGTCGAGGGGGCTAGAGATCAGCGAGATTGTTAACCTAGGCTTATATACCTTTTGGGGGTGTGCAAGCCCCCTAATTACAGGTAAAGACATACATCACAGGAAGGGGTTGCACTATAGGTTATACAGCAATGAGGGGGGGGCAATCTAGGGATATACACTCAATAGGAAGAGGAGGGATTGTGGGTATATATGTGACAAGATGGGCAGATCCTGGATTCAGGATGGCAGCCTAACTTTGGATGTCACTGAGCAGGTTTGACCTGTTCCTTGGATCTCCATAGAAACCATTATCAGTAGGGTACAAGCCCCACCTACAGGAACCAGAATAATGGTCACAAGCTTTAGGGAAGAAGTAGCCCATTGTCCTTAACAGCAGGGAGCAGGCCCTACCTGTGGTGGACCCAGACAGTTGTCTGGCAACTGACTGCCTTCAGGGAGGTAACTTGACAATCATTTACCATTAGCTGCAAGCAGTGTCCTAGGTCTAACATATATTTGGGGGAGATGACTTGGGAGAAATCTGTTTCCCACAACTAATCAGTCTATCGAACTATTTCCATTATCTTCAATTTTCTTCACTCTTCTTCGTGTCGGATGGGTAGAGACCGATATTTGCACCTGAGACGCCACACACACATTTATAAGACCCCAATCACTATGCATCAAAGTCAAATGCAGAACATTATCGTTGTGGACTTTGTGAGGCCAATTTACCTGGGTGCTCTCCAGGTCTACAGCCTTGAGTCCCCAGGTCCAGTGACTCCTTCCCTCAAGGTGTGCGGTTTTTCCTAAGAAGTTCTCATAACGTTTTACTCTGCATGCACTACTGTGTTTATGGAGATAGGTGCAGTGTAGGTAAAAACATACATGGGAATATGCTCCATTAAATCTCTATACAATGTCAGTGGGTATAATACATTCTCTTTTCCATGCCTGTCCAGTGTGTGTCTCCCACCCGTGCATCCACTTACAGACCGCTGCTACAGCAGGCCTGCGTCTATAACAGTAGCTGCCTCTGTTGCCCTGCATTTAGGGACTCCCTCTTGTGTCTTAGACATCCTCATTCTTTGCTGGCCTTCTCCTTCACTCAGGTGATGATGTGTCCACTTCTGATTAGTGACTTACCCTGTCTTCCATGTCTGGTTATCATCACAGACTTCCTCTTTTTTAGTGAAAACCTTTCCCTGACTTTTTATAATCACATAACAATTTCTCTTTATGACTGATGTATTTCATTTGGTGTAATATCTTCCAGTCGGATCCATGTTATGCAGTCCTCCTTGGATATCAGACAAGCATGCATATAGCTGTAACCTGCTCACTGCTGGAGAACCAAGTCGGACTAAAAGCAGCCCTCGAAGAGAGCGCAGAACTGCTCCATGGGGTTTCCGAGGCTGTAGAAGCAGCCACCTCACTTTGCCCATATCCAGGAAAGTGCTGGTGGGTTGGAATGGCAGACTCTGGGGACAGCGATCCAACACTCCACCCACTGCTCCACTCCACAACAATTGCATGGAAGAATTCTTACCTTTACCATTTGTAATGTTTCCTATAGTCATTTTATGCATCACAGGATTGGTGGTGGTTACACACAACCACCCACGCTGTACAATGGCACAGAGCTCCACATATGCACGCCCAGCAAGGGCCTGTATTGGGGGGTGAAGCCCCAGTAAGCTAGCTCTGTATATTATTCCAAAGCCCATTCCTGGTGTTCATGTGATGCTCAGCTCGCTCACAGCCGTGGAATCCATATGCTGACTCAAGACGTAGGGGGTGGGGGGATGGGATTGGAGCAAGAGGGCGGTCCCTTGACCCTCCCTCTCTTTTAACATTGCACAGAGTCCCCAAGCCCTTTCCAAGAGGTAGGGAGGTGGGCGAGCAGAAAAAAGGCCATGGAGGAGGCAGAGGGCTCTGAGCCTTCCTCCACCCTCATCGCCCTCTGACGCTCCGCATGTCTCCCACCGGCCTCCCCAATAGGCTTAGCTGTCACTGGGCTCCCGCCCTCGGTTCTGTGTCTTCACCACAAACACCCTCTCTGTCCTGACACGTCATCAGCAGTGTGGGTTCTCCAAAGAGCAGACAGGTATTTGAAGGGTAAGTTCATGCCGTGGTGCTGTCCGAAACCACCTGCGGGGCTGACCAGCTCAGAGAAGGTGCTCACTGTTTGATCTTGGTGCTCTAGCTGCCCAGAAGTCGCCCGCACCGCGCCTTTGCGCAGCACCAGGTGGCGGAGCTGCTCTGGCATTCGCGTCAGCCCCTGGGGTCAGCACAGAAGTCTTCGGCGCCTCCATCAATCCTCACTCTCAACGGGTGGGCTCCCACGGCGTCCCACACCCCACCTGTGTTACCCAGACACCTTCGCAGTCCCATTGACCGAGACTGTAACTCTTTATGGGAGTAGAAAGCCCCGTTTGCCTCCTTTGGAGCCGTTGGTGGTTTCAAACTGCTGACCTTGCATTACTACATCATAGTATAGCTATATGGTGTAGATATGCATGAGATGGGGTAAAAGGTACATGGTCACTTCTTGCACATTTCTCTGCAACTTCCTGTGAATCTATACTTATTTTTAATTAGACATTAATTAAAAAAAAAAAACAGATCAGTACCTACAGCAGAGATTTCAAGACCATTTAACCACTAGCCCCTCTGTGGGAGAAAGACAAAACATTCTTCTCCCAAGAAGCCCTGGTGGCATAGAGGGGACTAGGAACTAGGCTGTTAACCACCAAGAGCTGCAATCTCTCAGAAGCCCACAGGAGGAGTTCTGTCAGAATCAACTACATGGCAATGGCGGGGTGGGGGTGGGGGTCAGAGTGCATCAAGACCCCCACCTTGGAAAGCACTCCCCAAGGGTACTTTGAATCTTGATGGGTTGGTTTCCCCAGCAGCGTCTGTAAATGGGTGAGGCCCAGGTTTGCCTTCATTGGGATGTGAAGGTGACATTGGCATGACTGGAACTGGAGAGGAAGGGCAGTCTGGGAGGAGGCTTTCCCAAGACAAACTGAGAGGAAGGTGTGCAGATAGCGTATCACAGAACGTTAGTGTGTAGCTCACAATGGAGGGAAAGAAGACAGGCAAGTATCAACTGGCATGTCAAAATGTGTCTCCCGACCCTTCCGGCTTTTCAGAGTAGAGTCTATTGTGTATGTGTGTGTGTGTGTGTGTGTGTGTGTGTGTACATTTGTGGCTGTTATCAGTGGCCTTTGGGTGAATTCATTTGTGGTGATGCAGTCTAAACAGGAGGCCCAAGAGGATTGGAAGAAGACATGTGGGAAGAAAGGACTCTGTTGGAGCTTGGAAACATTAAAACAAACGAAAAACTAAATCACTGCCATTGAGTCAGTTCTGGCTAACGGCAACCTTTGGGGACAGAGCAGAGGGGCCCCTGTGGGTTTGAGGGGTTGTAAACCTTCACTGGATCAGGCAGCCTCATGTGTCTCCCGTAATGGCTGGTGGTTTTGAACTGACGACCTAGTAGTTAACAGCCCTACTGCAGCAGGAACACTAGGGGTGGGAAAGACAAGGCTAACATCGATCCTGGGAAAAGGGCTAGGGCTCAGGGAATGGCCATGATTTTTAGCCCTAAATACATACTAAGGAATCCAGCAGGGGGGTTTATACATTTAACCTGTGAGGGTTTATAATAGATCAAAAGCATGATGCAAACCACAGAACGCTACCACCTCATTTTTCTCAGGGAATGACAAATCCAAAGAAAATAAAAACTATAGCGAGGCAGGAAAAGCACATTCCCAGCCAGAGGCTCATGGTCACGGAATAGGTAAAGGATATAGTTTATTTTAATAAACCAATTTAATATCACAAAGTGCTGAAAATATGAATCACACAACTGTTTCAAACTAACATCTCATTCATTTGTCTAAGGATGAGTGTGTATTGTTTTGTTAAGGCTTCCTTTCATTCATGCACTTCATTTTTGCTAATATGCATCTTCCTTTTCTGAGTCGATAACTCTGAAGCCTCAGTTTGCCCTTGTGGTCCAACTGCAGGTGAATCCGAGATCCCTGCACAGTCTAATTTAGAGGGAAGGCTTCTTCTGCATGGTCCCATAATTCATTTCAATTAGCATGAGGAAATAAACTGCAGAGCCATTTTTCACTGAAACTGTTGTGGTGGAGTGCAGGGAAATGTTCAAGATGTTTCCAGAAGCACAAGCAAGCTTATACATGCACTTAGTTGCCCTATGGAGAAAAGGAAAAGATTACAAATTCTCTCATCACACAGATAAGAATGCACTGTCCTCTTCAGCAGTTTAGGTGAAACAGAATCATATCTGGCTTATTGATCGTCACTCCGAGCATGATCCCAGGACATGTCCCATAAAAGAGATGCCTTTTATTCACATCATTCTCTCTGAATGCACTTATCTAAGGAAAAGATAAAATAGTCTGTTGTGGGTTTTAATAAAAATATGATAGACAGAAAAACATTCTCCAGAACCAATATTGCTTCCGGGAGTGAAAGATATTGAATAAATATGATATAATTAAAGGTTACTAAGAAATTTCTGATCTAAGTGGAAGGGGAGTTCTAATTTTATCCATATGAATGTAGAGAAATCAATCTATCCAATATTGGGTTTATGTTGCATGGGGACCTGTCTGTGAAGACTGTGTTCCGCCTGCTGACTTGTAACCAACTGAACTAGGGAGGTAAGAGGTGCTGTGAAACTGATTGGTGTCCAACAGGTTTGGGGCTGCGTTTAATTTCCGTGAGGGGAAAAGAGGTCAGGAATGGAATGAAGTCAATGAGGACTGGAGTAAGACTCGCCAGATAGAGCAAAAAGCAAAATGGCCAACAGGAAAGGTCAGTGAATATCCTAAAGACAGGAAATGAACTTTAAACAAAATGTAAGGTGGTATTTCTATCTGGGTTTGGGCGTTGTTAAAATTGCTAATAAAAGGGCGACTTAAATCGCCAGATGTTGCTTGCATAGCACCTGGTTGAGTATGGATTTATTAGAAATATCAAGAACACAGAATATAAGTACACACACACACACACACACACACACACACACACACACACGAGAAAGGCCAGGCTTTCTATTCCCATAATGAGTTACCGTCTCAGAAACCCACAGGGGCTTTGTTCTGTAGTCGCCATGAGTTAGCATATACTCGATGGCAGTTGAGTGAGTGTGATATACGTATATGTGTGTGTGTGTGTGTATATACTGTGTGTGTGTATACTGTGTGTGTGTGTGTGTGTGTGTGTGTGTGTGTGTGTGTGTGTGTACTGGGCAACAAAATGAAAACTGTCCTCAAATTGATTCTGACTCTGGGAAATCCTGTAGGACAGGGGAACTGCGCCTGTAGGTTTCTGAGAATGTGACTCTTCAGGGAGTAAGAAGCCTCATCTGTCTCCCAGGGAGCGACTGACGAGTCTGACCTACTGATCCTGTGGCTCACAGCCCACTTTGTAGCCTGCTTCGCCAGCAGGACTCCTGTGAATATTTAACGTCACAGTGAAATTGCTACTATTTAACAAAGGCTCACTTCCTGTTTTACTGTATTTTTTTGGACTGGGGGCAGGGGGACTCTATCTTTTCTTCTAAGAAGTTTTCTTTATGTTGATGACTAATAGTATCAAACTTTACCTAGGTATCCGTGTGAAATCAAAATTATTTACTTCGTGTTAAAGAGCTCCTGCTACCAGTTGCATGGAGACTTGGTGCTACAGTGGATAGGAGTTGGGCTGCTAAACTTGAGGTCAGCAGTTTGAAACCACCAGCCACTCTGTGGGGGTAAGGCTTTCTACTCCTGTAAAGAAACCCACAGGGGTAGGTCCACCCTGTCCTATAGGGTCACGAGGAGACAGAATCTACTCAAAGGCAGTGAGCTAGTGAGCGAATGAACTGTCAGTTGCAACTCTTTGGAGACTGGTATTTGACATGCACTTCTGTGCTGACAAAGCTTGATGGCAAGGTTGGTTGGAGCGTCTAGGTATCCCATTGTCTTGAGCAGTCGCACTAATTGAATAATGCAGATTGTGAATTAGCATAGAAATCCTCTCCACAGTAAAACTACAGCAAATCGTTGCTCATTGGAATGGTCATATAGAAAGGCATCTTTTGATTCTCAAAAGGCTCACTGCCATCAAATTGATTACAACTGATAGTTACCCTATAGGACAGGGTAGAACTGACGTAGGGCCTGAATTTAGAAAGTAAATTTCACAGTTGTATTGAAGGGTAAATATTATTAAAATTTGAAACCACTGTGGTAAGGGTTTCTCTCCTTAAGAGACATTCAAAACTGCAATGTATTGGCAGCCTTACCTTCTCCCCCCTCCTGCCTGAGAGTCCTGGAAAGACCATATGATGGAGCAGGATGAAGCCGGGGTAACAGAATAAACAGGCTTGAAAAACTCCATCAGGTCGCCAACAAACCCGTTGTTGTGCCTAAAGCTTCCAGTAACACTCTCTTTCTCTCTCTCCTCCCGCCCCTCAAGCATTCTGTTCAGCTTTTCCTCATATATCATTATTGCATGTAAATATTTGGACTGGCCCTTTCTGGCACCATACACCTATGTTATGCTTTTGAAACTGTGAGTCGTCCTCTTCCACCCACTTGTGCCTACAATTTCTTCCCTCCAGTCACATGTAGTCTGAATCTTTTTGGCATTGCTGCACAACAGTTAGCTTTGATTTGGCTCAGGAATGCAGTGTTACCAAGGCTCTTTAAGAAAAAGGAATGTGTTGGAGGATGTGTTGTATATTGCTATCCTGGTAAGGGAGGGGGAGGGCCCGAAAAGGAACTGGGGTGCATTCCTTGTCCATGGCTGTGGCTCTGCTAGCTCAGTGCCCAGGTGCTGAGCAGAATGTTGGGATGGACCACAATTTCAATAGAACACACATGCTTTATCGATAGATACCCGAAGGGGTCGCAGGGTTCTTGTCAAGGGGGCTAAGGAACTTGCCTTGATGCTGTAGTTGCATGTTTAATTGGGGGGAAATTATAAGAGGAGTGGGGGCACAGGCAACACAGACTTCCCTTCCTCTAATCGCCTCTGCTAAACCATCTCACTCCCTCCCCCAGATTTGGCCTTCACGAGTCACAAATGCCCAGTGATATCTATTTCATTGCGAGGTATTTGAACTGTGAAAGTGCAATATAGACATCACCCTTCAGTCCTTTAAGTATATGCGTGACAAACAAAAAAGAATTTATCTTCAAAATCAGCAGGGTAATACTAGATGGAATGGAATGTTACAAAACCTGGCCATCTTTCAATGTGAGTGGGTGGATTTTTAGCACTACAAATGTTTGTGTAGTATAAAGTGTTTGCCATGGTGACAAAGCTGGGAGAAACATCCCATCAGCCACAGACGGGAAGCCTTAGCGGATTGTTCTGATTACCCAGGTCCCAAATACAGTCTGGCTGCGGCTTTGCGTTGTTTTCAGTGTTTATAAGGGCTGCCTTTTCAACATACGAACCTAAAACTTAGCAAATACGATGTGTGTGGGGATTTCCAGTCCTCTTAACTATATTCTCAGGGGTCATTCACAGACACTATGTGTAGATGACATGTATGTTAGTATTCCATGTAAAGTGGACGTGTTTATAGTGTTGAAAAGAATAATAAGCTACGAAAGAATACAAGACTTGTGAAAAGCCTCAGAGCATTTACCCAAAACAAAGAGGGTCCTGAAGTGAGACTTCGTAGATGGAGCCGAGGAAGTGCCTGCCCTAATTTATTTGCAGGGATTTCTGACTGTTGTTTTCAGTTTTAAAAGTTATAGCCTGGGTTTTTGAAAATGACTTTTACTTCAAATGCATGGGGAGAAATGTGAGTTATAAATAGCCCACAGAAAATATGCCACGGCATGTCAGAATCCAAATGTTTCCCTCTTCTAAACATTTCCCTGCTCAGGAAAACATGGGAAAAATTTTAATGGCTCCCTTTGCCCCTATTTTGGGGGGAGAATGTTTATAAGCAAATGGTGTTTTATGTAGTGGAATGAACAGCCATGCAATAAAAAGGAGTATCAGACAGGGAATTGCTTTGAAGTTACCCATGGTTGAACAAGGTAGAGGCAGACAGGGGGAGGGGCAGGGAAGGCTCAACCAAAAAAATTTAAAAGCTCTAAGGTGACACAAAAGTTAAAGAAAATAGGTCATAGAAAATTAATGCTTATCATCCGAGTGGCTTAGCTGCTAAACCGAACGCAGTGGGAGCTGCAGCCGTTGAAACATAGCATGAAAAGCCATGCTGCACAATTGATTCCACAAGGGCACCCCCAAAAGTCCCCTTACTTTTCTGGGTGACTTTTAGTGGAGGGGGCACAGATGTTGCTTTCTCACATGAACAAGGAGAAAATTCTAACTTACTTGTTTATTATTCAATCTTTCAGGGCAAGTAATCTAGCAGATTATCTTACTAAACAGGACTGAAGAGAGAAGCATTTTAATGAGGAAGTAAAATGCCTGCTACAGGTATTTTGAGCAAAGTTCTGCTGACTCCTTCCAAAAATTGTGCTTTCTCCATTCATTTTGTGCTTTCTCCGTTCATCTTGAAAAGTCCTAATTCAAGTGCACATTTGTGCAAATGAACCAGTTGTTTCAATGAAATATAATGAGGTTTTCATATTCCTTAAATATGCTTGAGCTCAAAACTGGTCCTGTGAAGACATACTTTTGGAAGAAGTTAAATTAAAACAACTTAATTGTATACAAATAAAGGGTTCTAGAGTTAATTCTAGGAGGCTAAAAAGGCCAGTATCAAACGTTTCTAATAATCCCATTTCTAAACTTAAGTGCCTTGAGGTCCATTTCTGATACTAGTTATGTCGGTTCCTGCCAATGAGCGGGCTTAAATTGGGAATAATATACGCCAGAGACTTCAATATTCAAGCAGGCCAGCTTTCTAACACTGTAAACAGTTTCAGTGGCTTGAGGCTACAAGGTCAGCATTGGTTGGTTATCTGTGGCAGACCAGAGAAAGAGGCGGCTTTCTCCTCCCATAGAGATCTGCTGTCTGGAAATCCACAGAAGTGCATCTGTTCTGTCCTGCAGGGGCCACCCGATGGCAGTGAGTGTGGTTGTGAGTTGTTGGTGTTTGGAGCAGAGGTTTCCTGGTGGTACAGAGTTACACACTGGGTTGATCATCGGAAGGGTCACTATAATTTGGAACAACGACAGTGGGGTGGGTTTGTTTTTTTTTGAGGGGGGAGGGACA